GCAGCAGCAGCAGCAGCAGCAGCAGCAGCAGCAGCAGCAGCAGCAGCAGCAGTAGCAGCAGCAGTGGAGAGGGAAGGGGAAGTGGTGGGGAGAACAGCAGCAGCAGCAGCAACAGCAGCAACAACAGCAACAACAGCAACAACGTCAACAACAACAGCAGCAGCAGCAGCAACAGCAAGGACATCAACAGCAGCAGCAGCAGCAACAGCAGCAGCAACAGCAGCAGCACGAAGCCTGATGTTGTGTTTATAGATACCCCTGGACAAATAGAGGTTTTTACTTGGAGCGCTAGCGGAGGTTTAATAACAGAAAGTTTATCATCAACATTTCCTAGCTGTCTTCTCTATGTGCTTGATGCATGCAGAAGCACAGCCCCAAACACCCTTCTCAGCAATATTCTGCATGCATGCAGCGTTATGTACAGACACAAACTACCTTTCATTGCTCTCTTCAATAAAATCGATGCTCAAGACCCTACTGAAGCTATCAGCTGGCTCAGAGACTGCGACCGATTCCAGGTCAAACCCTAAACCCTAAACCCTAAACCCTAAACCCTAAACCACATAAATATATAATATATGTATATATATATATATATATGTATATATATGTGTGTATATATATATATTTATATGTATGTGTATGTATGTATATACGTATATATACGTATATATATATATATATATATTTATTTATATTTATGTATGCTCTTCAAACCCTAAACCCTCATATATACACTTCAAACCCTAAACCCTCATATATACCATTGAAGAGCCCTTAACCGATGCGCACCTAAACCCTATTAAATCTAAACTCTAAACCCTAAACCCTAAACCCTTGAAAATCTGTAGAGGAGAGCCGCCAAAAACCCTTCGTGTAATAATCCCCTCAACAAAGCCGGTGAGATCGTCGGTCATTAGGGTTTAGGGTTTAGGGTTTGGCGGTATGCTCAGGAAGCGCTTTTAAAAGATGAAAGGTATTTAGGAAGTCTAGGTCGGTCTACTGCGTTGGCTTTGTGTGAATTCTATGAAAAAATACAAACAATGTCTGTTTCTGCGGTGTCTATGCAGGTACGTGTACATACACCTCAGCGAAAGATATTTATATTATTATATACAAATAAATTAAATTAATTATTAGATAAATAAATAAATTAATTAATTAACAATAAATAAATAAATAAATAAAGTAAATAGATAAATAAAATAAACAGATAAAGAAATAGACTAATTAATTTATTAATTAATTATATATACAACAAATGAATAAATAAACGTTAAGAGGACTTAGATATAAATTAACTCTTGAAAAAACACAGGAAGAGCCTTCACTTCTTTGCTAATGCTGCTGTTGTTGATGCTGCTGCTGCTGCTGCTGTTGCTGCTATTGCTGCTGCTGCTGCTGTTGCTGCTGCTGTTGCTGCAGGGTCTGGATAGGTTGTGGGGTTGTTTAAAGAAGCTGCGACGAGAATACGAAGACAACTTCATCCCCTATTTGCTGCAGCAGCGCGAGAAGGCTAAGAAGAAGAAGCTGCAGAAGCAGCAGCAGCAGCTCTCGCGCTTCCTTGCAGACAGCCGCAGCAGCAAAAACAACAGCAGCAGCAAAAGCAACAGCAGCAGCAGCAGCAGCAGCAGCAGTAGAGGCCGTGATGTAGAGAAGAGACTCCCTGGGGGAGACGAAAGTTCGAGTAAAAACCTTTAGGTCTAGAAAAAAAGTATTTGCATGCATTCGGGGTGTATGTACACCTCAGAATGCATGCAAATACAAATGCAGCTCTTCACGAATTGTTTATTTCATAGTTATCATAATAATACCCTCGCACTCACTGTTTTAATTTTATTTCTGCTGCTGCTGCGGTGTACATGCAGCTGGGAAAGGCTAAGACCCGACTTAAGCTGCCTGTACACCTCAACTGAAGCAGCAATTGCTGCAGCAGCAGGTGCTGTTTCTGCTGCTGCTCCTTCAGTTGAGGTCCTGCAGCGGCAGTGCTTCAGCAGCAGCAGCAGTTGCTGTAGCAGCAGCACCAGCAGTTGCTGTAGCAGCAGCAACTGTTGCTGCAGCAACAGCAACAGTTGCTGCAGCAGCAGTTCCTGCGTGCTGTAGGGGTTTTGCTTGCATGCAGCCCCGACTGCATGCAGCTGCTCTCAACCCTTCTTACAAACACAACATAAAAATATATATTTATACTATATTAATAGTATATATATAAAAAAATAAATATATTAATAATACGAACGATATCAATTAGGTGTATACAGAGAGACATGCAAATAATAATATAAATATTCAAGCATATATATATATATATATATATATAT